TCTCTCTCTTCTTCAAGAGGTACAGTAGGACCCAAAAATGTTTAAAAGAAGAAAACTGCCCTTGACAAGCCAACCAACATTGGATGTTTCATGCAAGAGTTATTTGAAAGGGAAACTTACAGACGTGAAGCACACGAGGTATGAACTCAGCACAAGCCAGACAAGCATGGGGACATTCAGTCATTGAGACAATCAGTTTCCCTGTAAGAAATATTTTTGTTATTTCTTACTGGAATTTGCTCCCCACCCCACTAGCCCAGTAAATCCCGTTACTACTCGAGCATTAGGGCATGTTGCCAGGCCAACTTTCCCAGGCTTTTTCCTAAGAGAGTTCCTGCTCTCTTCGTGTGTTAACAAGAAAAAATAAAGTGTTTCTGCTTAAAATAATTAACAACAAGGTGTTTTTATTATTATCGTTCTAAAGCTTAAACCTATCAAAGCAAAGTCAGGAATGGATTTATTTCTTTTAAGAAATTTAAGAAAGCTTTACTTAAACAGGCCCTGAGGAATGTTGTTCTCCATAGAGTTTACACAAGAGGTCAGACTACATGACGGTCAACCATCTTGACTTCTGCTTTTACAAACCACAAAGAGCCATATCAAACTTACTGCTAACACCCGTGGTGGAGAGAGTAGAGAGTTACTGCCCAAATGCTTGATTACAAGCACATAAATTACCTTGAAAACAGGTGCTTTGCTGCTCCCACCCTACCCCATTCCCTGCTGGACTGTACTCATCTGATTATTAACTACATAAATTATTCCATTGTTTTACCCATGACAGGGCCATGTAACTCAATAGGAAAATTCTCTATCCACAGTTAACACTGGCAATTGAAATATGTTATTTATTCAAACACACAAAACCCCTCAACAAACAAACAAACAAAAGAAGCCCATAAGTCCCTCAGTAATTTTTTTTTTTAGTTTTGTGCTTAGAAAATTGATTAAATGGGTGCCTGTTCCATTATTTTGCACACCAACAGAAACTAGAGAATATATATTAGCTAAATTGTAGCAAAAAAAAAAATCTTGCTGTCAGTCCCTGGAGTAAAATCCCACCTTAATGAGATGTGTTACCTTCAGGGCCAGCCTTCAGAATAGCAGAGTCCATTATTTTTTTTTGGCAGTTAACAGCACACTTTGTAATTCATCCATTATATACACACTAAATTCTGATCTAGAGGGAGAATGGGCCTGAGAGAAACCAGAGTTCCTGGGAACTCCCATCTGAAATACATTAGTAGCATGACTTAAATAGTTTATCCTCACTGGATTCCAGCATTTCTAGATGCACTGCTATCAGCTCAGACTGCTGTGAAACTTGCCGTGCTGATTTAATCACCTGGCTGCTGTGTGATCTCTCGGAGACATTGCATCATCTCTCACTGCCTTTTGAAGGCATGCAATGTAGCAAGATCTTTCAGGAACCCTTCCAAACATATTCTACTGACTCAGATCTGCAGAGCTGACCATTAAGTAACCATCCAGGTTACAGATAAAGAGCAGCAGCTGCCTTTAGAATCACTGGATTTTTTTTTTCTACAAAATCAATTTCCGAAGATGAAAGCGCTTAAATATTTGTTGGTTTTGGTAACTGTGTCCTTTTTTAATAGTATTTAAATATAGACATTGATAAACTTGTTAAGGGGTCTAAATAAAATACTTTGTTAAAATTAAGATTAGAAACTGTCTTTTGTCTTTCAGCCTATCCTCCAAAGGCCCATGTAAAGCACTGAATTTAGCAGAAAGTTTTAAATATGGAAAACTTTTGAAAGCAACTATCATCTCAAGTATGACTTTGGGTGAAATGCTAAACTATATTGTGTCCAAATAGAAATTTACTAGGATTGTCTGTGACAAACTCTTGTAGCTCACCTGAATTATTATTCCAGCCTAGGCTTCTGGAAACAGCCATGATTTTGTCTGTAATTCTATAAAAATTCAAGTGAATAACACGGATTACAATTTAATTACAAAGAGTACTACTCCCTGTGGCCCATGCTGAAGTTCTCTCTCTTGGCTATTTCACATTGCTGGAAAGCAAACTACAGAAATTCTTACAGTTTATTCTCATTACAGTCTTTTGGCTTAAAGACCTGAGGTCTGCAGTTTCACACCAGAAATTATTCCCCGTTCTCAAGCCTGCTGACTCACTGATTCATACTGAATCATATCCAGTGGTTCCAACTGGTCATTGTATTTCGTATATGTTGTCTTTGAGTCCTTTTTCAAGCACTCTATAATACAAAGAAACCATCAACTACTAACGTGGCCTAGATGCACACTTGCCTTACCTGTTGACATTTATTTCATTTCTGGAAAACAGGCTGATTTAAATGCATGAAAAATTTTGCATCTCAGTTCTGATACAAGAAAATATGTCTTATTTTTTTCCCTCCCACTTTTGTTTTTTAAACTGCATCCCATCAACTGTGCTGAAAAAACACTGTGGGATGTTTTTTACCTTTTGTGAAAAAAACTTGGAGGTTGAATGTTTATACGAAGAGTGGCTTCAGCAACAAACAGAACCAGACAAGGCTTTCTGCAGAGTATCATTACCTAGGCAATCAATTCCCCAGTCTCTCCGTGTATCTTCCCAACTAAGTCCTGCCAGATGTGCCAAACTGTGAAGAGTGAAGAGTCTATGTTTTTGGAAGTTCACAGCAGAGGTAACAAAAAAAAATACTTCCCAAAGTTTTACAGCCTCAGCCTCATGGGGGTCTCATGGTTAAAAAGCTTTCCATGTTCTGTGCTTTTTTCTTTTGCTCCAAATGAGTGCAGGAGAATGTCTGTGGGAGAAAAAGATCACATTGTTGATAACATTGGCTTTTGTAGACATTTTCTACTGGTGGGATGTTCACTGCTCATGGGAGGACCACCTTTTGTGTTCTGCCAGTGACTTCAGCTGGAAATGCTGAAGAATCTAAGCTGCAGCAGGTGACATGAGGAAGCTTCTCTAGATATCAGGAGATCAGAATTTCCTTCCTTTCTTGAATTGGAGAGAAAAAGAGCTTGCTGTTTCGGATGACATTTGTAAGCCATCTGCTTTGGAAAAGAAAGAATTTCCTTTGAGATTTGCTTTTTCAGTGTATTGCCCAGTTCTCTTCTGGCCGACATTACCCCTGTTGCATCAAACGCAGTATTTACAGCACCACGTGACTCTCTGCTGTCATGCTTTGCATCACCATTGCTCACTTCAATGCTGTTTATAAAAATCATGGTCAAGGAAGGGACAAGGACTAAACCATGAGGACCAGACAGAATGCATGTAGAGCTGAATGGAAAGGTACCACTAAGGCACCAGACGGAGTCATTCCCTTTCCTGTCTACCTACCACTACATGAAAATCCAGAGGTTTCCAGCCCAGTAGTTTTACCTGTCTAAATTCTTGGCACACATGCATTCACAGAGAGATGGAAAACACAAGGAGGAGTCTCTCATGTTACCAAGGGATGGGAAGCTTAGAGCCTTCTTCCCACTCTTAGAGATATATCAATAAAGCTGAATTCCACAGACATGGATTTGTGCTAAAATATATCATTACAGTCAATTAGTTAATTATTTCAGGCAAAATTCATGTCTTTTCATTCTTCTCTTTCCTTCACAGAGATACCTCTTCAATAACTATTTTCCCCTTCTAGCATGGAAATCTATTCCCAGGGAATTAAGAGAAACAAATTACTGCCTATTATGATGTTGCAACTTCTAACCACAGGGTTCAGCATCAAGAAGGAAAGAACAATTATTGGAACATTAGGGCTTAACTAAACATTTCAGTATTTGGCAGGGCATACTCTGAACCAACAAGGAGCGACAGCCATGCGTATGCGTGCTCACATTGGGTAGCTGTAAAATGTAATTGGAAACAATGTTTTAGGAACTTGAATTTTAGTAACATTATACAGGTTTTTAGCACAGGTACTGTGATACTAAAATTAAGCATTTCAACATTTTTTACTCATTTGCTGTTGTTGAAGCATGTGATGGTATAGAGTTAATTCTTTGCATAGGTCTTCAAAAGGGTTCTTGAGATTTTTTGATGAACCAGATCTTTATCATTTGCCCTGAAAACTACGGTCATTGAAAACCAGAAGTGTTGACCCAGAGACCACCTGATATCTCCGCATTGAACACAGCAGGTAAAAGCCTAAAATATTGAATCTATGCAATCCATTTGCAACACTTGGAGGTCAGCTTGTACCCTTGGTCATCTTGATCATCCCAGAAATGCCAAGTTTCAGAAGGTAATTCAAGTTTTTTCAAGAGAAGGGAGAAATTTCTGATGGAATGAAAAGTTTAGTGCCTCTTAAAAAGCTGGAATGCGTGTCCTTTTGGATTCAAAGGGCCAGGACTTTCAGAAAATAATTCAATTTTGAAACCATAGATATAAAGACTACACAAAACATGGAGTTATCAAAATAGGAGGGCAATTAATCTACATGTACAGCTGTAAAGTTCCAACATTGAAAAAATATGTAAATGTGGAAACCTTGTGTAAAATACAACAGTTAAAATCTCATTCCCATTACCGTACTTTTCACGTGTTATCAAGTTTCCCACCTTTTTATATTTAACCATCCATGTGGCTGCCACAGAGACCATTAACCAGCAGCCACTGTGTTTTGGATGTGAAGAGCAGATGACATTTCTCAGAAGGAGTCACTGGCCCTGCAGCACTGTCACCCTCTTGGGAGACACAATCCTCTTTCTGCAGCCTGACTCCATGACATAGAAGACATTTCTAATACCCCCTGCCTTCTTACTAAGAAAAACAGCCCTTCAGGGCTGCTCAGCTCCTGCTTCTCTGACATGGTGTCACAGACAGACCATCACTCAGTCACCACAAACCCAAGGCAGGGCAAACACTACAAATATTCTCCATGCCAAAACCTTTCATATGTTGCCCATTCAGCAATGGCAAGGGACAGGGTTGAAGTCTCACAGAGCAGGCATTTCTGTGCTGACACGGCTCACCTTCCTCCTTGCAGGAGCTGTACCACAGCAGCAGAGCCCCGAGCCCTACCTGCAGCCTCAGCCTCACGCCCTGACCTGGCACACCAGCTGCTCTTCTCCTCCTGACCAGGATCCTGTAAGGACAAACCAAAGCAGTCCTTCTGGTTCACCCCACCATGTCCTCTTGTCCAAACTAAACACTAAAATTACTGTAGCATCCCTTTTCTGACCTGCAAATCATCATCTTGCATCCCAAGCTGAGTTAAACACAGCAGCCCACTTCACCACCTACCAACATAATCCTCCTTTTAGATTAGATATCAGGAAGAAATTCTTCACTGTGAGGGTGGTGAGGAACTGGAATAGATTTTCCAGAGAAGGTGTGAATGCTCCATCACTGGAAACATCCAAGATCAGTGTGAACAGGGCTCTGAAAACCCTGATTGTTGAAGAAGTCCTAGCTAATTGTTGGACCAGATGACCATTACAATATCCCTTGCAACCCAAACTGTTCTATGATTTTATATAATCAGCAGTGCATTAAATCAACCGGCCTTGAGTAATCTGACACATCTCTAATACATGATTAGAATTTTTTAGTGTCTACAGCAGCAAGTGATTAATTGACCATAAACCTCTCAAAACAGAATGTTTCCATTAGAGTAATTAAGAAAACAAACAAAATAACAAAAGTATTCAATAAATAACAGCAAGCAATCATTGACATTGGTTTTCTGTCCCAACTTTTGGTTGAAGACTGAGTATGCTATTTCTCCCACGCTGTTTCCAGCAGAGATGGTTTACACTGGCAAAAGGGTTAGTTAAACCAATTCCCAGGAAAGGCATAACTCTCTGCATTATTTGCCGTCACAAAAATATTCCCAAGAAGCAAAGTTTTAAGCACAGACCACACGTTCCACCAGTTTCCTCACTAACATAGGTGATACTGGAAGACAATCAGATTTACATGGTTTCAGCTAGCTGTAAACTCCAGAGTCCACCAGTTTTTCCACATCAGTTCCTGCCCATTTCAGTGCTCTTGAAGAACAAGGACTTAACTCATTCCAGCAGTGTCTTTACCCAGGCCCCCCTTGCATGCCATCACTGGTAGTCGCTGGTTGGTTCTAAATAGTCCAAGTGCAGGTGCTAAAAGCTCTCCTGAGACCCTGAGACTCTGACCAAGGGTTGGGGTGAGTACAGCACAAAGCAGCTCATTGCTTCCTGTCCTTTCACAAAGCAGCAGGTGAACCATCTTAATTTAGCATGAGTTCTCCTGGAGAAACCCTATCACTAGCTTTGGTTTGCCTCAAAATACCTCCCTGCAATTTGTAAATGAGAATTCACAACTCAGTATGCATTAAGGCTGAGCTGACACTTCAAGGACACAATTTCACCAGTCTCTTTAAGGTATCTCCACAGATGAATCAGAGCACTAATCCAATCTTTTAGAAAGCTATTCAGAAACAGTTTGTTTGAAGTGTTAGACAAGCAAAACTTGCAGTAGTCCCTGATGTTTGTCCCTAACATATCCGAACCATTGTCACCCGCAACTGAGGATTTATGTTTCCTGACATTCTATGCTTCCTTTAAATGGTACTTTTATACTTTAAATTACTATGCTTCCTTTAAATGCTACTTCTCTCTAAAATGTTTGTTTTTCCTTCTTCTAGTCTGTTTATGATTAACTTACTATGAAAGTTACTTACTCACTTCTCTCACTTCTTTTTTCTTTTGGGTATCTCAGACTTCTTTTACCACAATAAAATTCAGCATTTAAGGAGATCTTTTAAGGGAGTTCCAATACATTCAAAAGATCTCCTAAGACCTCTTGCCAGCTCAATTATTCTGTGATTTTATTTCTCTTTGTTCATGGTCATTTCCATGTCATCTGAGTGTTTTTACTCATGCACTAAGCAACATGACTAACATCTGTCACATATTGTTTGTTTTCTTCCCTTTCCCCAGGGGGAGAAGGAGGGGACGGTCTGGTGTTGGCAAAGTGGTTTTCATTTGTTTATTTGTTTGTTTAGCATGCATGTTGCTATGTGTTTACAACAGAAAACACAAGGTCAGAGTAATGCTTCACGGAATCAGAGTGGGAGCTGGGATGTGTGTAGAAGTCCTCAGGAACCAGAGGAACCCCTAAGACTACCAGGTAAGCCCTTGCCTCTTTCTTTGTGCAGCAGGTGCACAGCTGGATATGGTTTCCACTCCTAAACTTCTTTGTCTCAGGCTTGGGAAGCTTTGAATGAGAACACACGGACAATAAGTCTGATTCAGAATTCAGCAGGGATTCATGCAGAGTAAGGGCATGGGATTCAAGCAGAATTCATGCAGGGTAAGGGCGAGTCTGGTGTGGTTGTGGTAACACCTGGCTGGGATGAGCACCCTTGAGCTCTGAAGGTGCCTGACCACTGATGGTTTCACACCCCTGTCCAAGGCCAACCAGGATGAGAAAAGGAAAAGGTTCAAAAGTTGAACATGAGACAGAGTATGGCAAATGGAAATACTCTTCCACTAAGACAAAGGAAGGAAAAAGGACTGTCTATTGCAAGTTGTTCACAGTGATTTTGTCTGTCTAACATCCTGATCACTTACTGGCTCAAGGACAGCTTCAGGAAGTTGTTTTTGCTAGTCTCTTATGAGATTAGAATTGTCTGAGGCTTCCTTTTTCTAGTTAAAAAATTGGTTTTAGTTCCTTATACACTTCCAAAACTTCACCTCTGGGGTCTGAAATTTCCCATATCTATGATAAATATTTTTGAAAAATTTCACTCACAAAACATTGAATGAGACAAGAAAGGATATGTTTTGCCCTTGCTAAAAGTTGGGCAGCTCATCTGTAAAAAATCCTTGGAACTCTAAAAAGACTGCTAAGGACATTGCTAGATGTTATTTGAGACAGATTTGCTTGTTTCTCTGAAAGAACATGGATATTTGACAAATTGCAAGCCACTGAAGAATCTCAATTCACATAAACACAGTTACAATGAGGTTTCTTAGCCGGCCTTCCATTCTTGTCCCACCAGAACACATATTCACCATTGCCAAAAGCCAGGAGTACAAGGCTCCTGCCAGCTTATTTGGGCAAAGGAAAAGAGGCAAGGTTCTTTTGTGCAAGGAAGAAATTGCCTTCTTCACTGCTCTTTTCTATAAAAATGGATGGAGGCACTAATTCAAATGCCTGAGTAACACTTAAAGGTGCTAAAATATAAAAAAAAAAACCTGCAGAACTCTTGGGCTTTTGCATGGAGACAAGGAGAGAGAGGCTGAGAGACACGTAACCTGGCTGAAACTCAGAAAAGCATGAAATGTCCTTGATTCCAGATGACTAACACAGCATTTAGCTTTATGAGAAAAGACATTCTTAATAAGTCTTCATTATCAGGCAATTCTTTTTATATGCTATTTGCCTAAACTTATAAATATTCTGGAGAGATTTCTGAATGATGATTTTAAGGTTGCTTTCAAATTCTTGGTGGAATTGTTGAACGTGACTGAATTCGCATCATACCACACTGAGTCCTTTCATAAATAAAGGTCTTTGATGAGGTGATATCCACACATTCCTGGAGATGGCAATTTTGACAATTGTTAATCAATGTATTGTGTGTCTCATTAATACTCAGCAGAACTTTAAAGAATTGTCATATGTTCAATAAATCTGCATCCACACCAGAAGAAAATTAGGGATTCCATGGGAAAAATCTTAATTCTGGGTTATCTTATTTCTTCATCGTTTTGAAGTAATTTTTCATTGTTTCTATTATTACAGTTTGCCATGCCATATTAAGCAACAATAGGGAAGTTACTATCTTTCATTTCCTTTCAATAGAGAGAGAATCCCTTAAAATCCTCTTTGCCTTTTTTCTTCTGTTGGTTTCTCAATAAGCACAGAAGAAAACAAATAGATCAGATTTTTTATCTCTTAAGATTATGGTTCTCACAAGTGCATGTCATTGTCAGTCTTGACCTTGGTAGAAAGGCTATGATATATTTTTTAAGTTTAATTTATGGTTAACAAAAGAAATTCCTTGTTTTTACTGCTACAAATAGATAATGAAACAGTTTCTTGTTCTACCATGCATGTAACTGTTTGACTTGAAAAATTATGAAAAGTGCTTTGAGAATTGCATGGGCCAAAATACTCCTTAAACACCCCCAACCAGTATCATGAAGACTTAGAATTAATAAAAGCAAGGAAAACCAGAGTTTTCTCATGTTGCCTGACAAATTTTTGCTTCTTTTTCAGTAGTCCATCTTCAGATAAAACATTAAAAATATTTTAAAGACTAAATAGAAGAAGCAAAGGGAAGTGTCATTTGGAAAGGAAGTGTGTCTTGGGAGTCAGGAAAGGCCAGGTAAGTTACACAAAAACAGAAGGAGCTGCTAGAACTAATTATGAACAGCAAGTGGAGAGATATAAAATAAAGAGCAGGCAGTCAGGAGGTCAGAAGGAAATCCAAGAAGAGCCTGTTGTAGCTCTGACAATCCAAGAAGAGCGTGTTGTAGGCTTAGTTTAGAGGCCTCCAGGAATTTAGAACAGGCCTGACGGGATCCCAAATGCTGGATATTGTCTACTCCTTCAATTTAACAAATACAGCATTGGTAGGAATGACAGCAAATGACAGACATAGTGATTAAAGGACCGAATTCAATAGAGGTAAAAATAAAAATAATTCAAATTTAAGAACAGAGGATGCTGCTGAATAAGCAGATGTGAGTATGAATGGACTGGGTTAGGAATGTCTTTGGCAGCACCTGAAAGGCTTCAATTGTTCTCTAAGGCAATAATGAAATTGTGATTTTAGATGAAGTTCTCATTTCCAAATCTACAAAATGGATATATACACTGGCAAGAGCCATATTGCATGGACCCAAACTGTATCACATGGTTTAGCCACACTGTGTTTATTTCTATGGCTGGTTCCCACTCATTCACTATTTAGGAAAATTTGGGGTCTATCATCACTCCAAAGTGATTTTCACGAGTCATAGTAGGAATTACTTGTAAAATGACCATTTATCTGTTACATGACCTGTTCCAGCATCCAGTCATATGAAATACCCAAAGAAAATGAAGTACAGGCATTCCAAGGTTCACTTTCACAGCCTAGGCTATGGTATGAACTACCAAAGCCCTTTGGATGAGAATCATCCAGATCTCCATTCTAAGGAGAATCATGTCATAGGCTATCAAATCACTCTGACTTGATGGTTCAAAAATTATCAATCAAAAATGAGAAGATATTTTTCCTGGCATTTCCCTGAGTTATTTCCACCCTTAAAAATTCCTAATATGACTGCCACCACATTTGAATTACATCACATTTAAAACTATAAAATTAATTAGCAAATGTGTTTTCTGTGGAAATTTTGGAATGTTATTTTTGTCATATTATTTTACCTGCATACCACAGAACAAAAGGATGCTAGTTTTTATCCCATATTTGTCCCAAAAATAGTCTAGTATTTTGTATAATACTTCAGAAAAACAAACAATTTTTCTCCCTTCTAAAGATTTAGAAAAGATAGAATTATTACTATTTATTGTACTAATAATAATAATTAAAGAACATTTAAGTACAGTTTTCTGATATCTCAGCCTTTAACAAAAGTTACTGGGTGAAATTTCTGAATTATCTGAAATCCATCTTCAAGAGTAATGTAAAATTAGAGACCTTTTAAAAAAAAATAAGTATATATATATATAATTTGTACAACTGGATAGAGGAAGTACAGGTGCAATACTTTCTTATAGGAAGGTGAAAAGAATGAGAAACTTTCCACCCTGTTGCAGTTACTTTGACTACTGACTGGGATGCTGTACATTGTATTAGGTAAAAAATATGATGAATAACAGCTCCATGCATCGTGCATGTCTGCACTGATTTTGTACTTTTCAAAAACCATTTTAAATAAGAATTTTCAAAGCAGAAAAACTGGCAAACATTGGTGGAACATGAATAAAACTGCAATCAGTGGAGTCACTAAGGTTTCTTGCATCAGAAATTCAGGGGTTTGGAAGTGTAGCTGCAGCAGCAGAGATCTTGTTAAACTTGATTTGATATGAAGTGCTGCCAAGGACCCAGCTCTGTGTTCCATCTTGCTTTAATTGTAGGTCACGCTTCTGAAAAGACGCAAACAGTCAGCAAGCCAAAATGTTCTCCTTGGCACACTTCACAGGCACGTTTCCTTTTCAGCTCAGGAACTACTTAAAAGAGACCATAGAGACATAGGACATCCGCAACAAATATTCTTTTAAAATATTTATGATTTGTACATTCAGTACTCAGGGTGATATTTTGGCTGCATGCAGAGACAGGTGATGATTTTTGGATTATTACCATGACAGCAGCATGTTAACACAGCCATGTTTGTATTGTTTCTTACTCCAAAGTAATCTAGTCTTTATTTCCCTATCTGCTTAGAAAGCACAGCCTAAAAATATATTGAACATTCTGTCTCTCCTCTGATCTGTATAAATTGCTTCTGTACAAACAGCCACACCTAAACCCATGCTTGTCAGTTATCACTGCCATGTTTAAATGTCACGGTGGTGCAAAACACATCTTGTGGCAAACATCAGAAATATTGTTGCTTTATTTTGCTTAAACTCAAGTAATTTGCTTTGGATCCGCTTGTTTTTTTTCAGAATGGGAGCAGTCCTATTCATTCCCAAGTGAGACCTCAGTGTGTAAATTCTTGGAGATCCATGGTAATTAAAAATACTGAGAAGTACTGGTAAGAAAATTATAACTACACACGTATACTCTTCATTGCTCCTATTGGCCTAATATGAAAGAAATCACACTGCAGTCAGACTGACTCTTTCTTTGGCTGAGAATTTAGAAAGCTTGTTCATACAAAAGAAAAAAAATCATCCTTCCCCTTCTTATATTGAAAAGATACGAAAATACATTAAAATACTATTTTCAAGTGACATAATCAGATAAGTGCCTGTCTGCAAAAATATGTTCTGTTACAGAGCTGAAACTCTATTTTAACCCCAGCAATACTGCAAAATTGTGTGAAGTAAAATCAAATGAAAGACATACATTCATAAAACCAAAAACTCTTCTCTCACCAGCAAGAGTGGGGCATTATACAGAATTAAATTACAAATATTTTTTGACTAAATGAAAATTTCTTTCTAGTCTAGGGATTAGCACAGCATTTTTCAAAATCATTCATCATTACTAATATCCTGTGGAAATAATTTTGAGGTTTTAATAGTCAGTATGTTCATGAGTCCTACCTGAATAAGACTAAGAGGATGACTATTACAATACTATTACAATTAGTATTTCACAGAAAAAAAATACTGTAAAAGTTATCATGTTAAATCTCCACCTTACAATGAAGACCTGAGACTTTCTCCTAAAATTGTACATACTTGGTTTGGTGTGCTGATAACTTTATTAAAGTCTGCGATGTAATTATCAACAATGTAAACTACGATGTTGGATAAATTATGCCTTTCTAACTGCATCATCTGTTGCACATATATCAAAATTCCAAGCCAGACATCCTAAAATATTGATCTATATGTTATTTTAAATTTGAAGTTTAATTTAACATGCCTTACATAATATCTCCAGCCTTTTACTTTGCAAACTTTGAATTCCATTGGAAATGTTCACAGAAATGTTATATTTTGACAGAGGCTTTTGTCCCAAAAGACATTATTTAAGTACTATCTTCTTCTGAGTTACTGACTCTGTGGATATTTATTCTCTTATGAATGCCAGTGAAACACTAATGGCTATGCCAATGAGTGAAGTTTTGGCTTCTTTCACACTGTTATCTCATTATATATATATATTGATTCACCAAATTTACAAAAATCAAAACTGAGTTTTAAAACCAAAACTGAGTTGTGATCATCCTGACCTCTGTAACACCATCAGATAAGATACCATGGGACTGTCACAGAGCTTGAAATTCTGTAGAAACACAAAGCTCTGCTGACTCAGGATGATGGTGAGACCAAGCTGTGGCTGTGCATACTGAGAAGAAATTCCTTTTTAATCCTTTCCAAACTGAATCCTGGATACCAAATGGATCTGGACATGTGGAGGTAAATATCTGAATAAAGCATCAGTACGCCCTGAACCAGTGAAGATAACACCATTTTAAAGATGTTTTTCCCTTTATATTCAGTGGCAATAATGTAGTGACACGTTTCTATCAGCTCAAGGTCAGGTTCAGGCTGCTTCCCTTGATGGAAAAATCTATCCAGTTTAAGATGGAACACCCCTGTTGTACGTGCTGCTTCATGTAGCCTCTTCAGCATGCCTTTTCAGAGAACAGAAACTTCTTTCCTGAACCCTTTTGCAAGGGGATTTATGTCATCAGTTAATGAAAAATAGTCCCTTCTCAGTTCAGCAAAACATCAGTTTTGCTATTGGACTAACTAAAGTAGCATCACGTTATGTGCCTAATGATCTGGACATACATTCACTTGCACTCTGCTTGCAATGCAAACATCAAACAGCCATCCAGACCCATACTTTTAAACAGGCATTTATAAAAATGAATCTTAAGTAGAGATTAAATGTTATTTATTTCAGCCGTATTGGATACTGCCTGCTTTCTTATTTCTGTTGTTTCTTAGCACCTAGACAAAACAATATGACCTCTAAGTTAATGGGCAAATGAGTAAGTGGTAACTGGATTTAAAAATAATAGGAAGTACCTGGAGAAAGGGAAAACACTATAACTCAGACATTACTTAATGAGACTAAAAGACATATAATCTACTTGAACCAAAGATTGCAACTCAGATGGCTTTTAAAAAAAGGAGGAGGCAAACAGAAACACAGTTCTGGGGCAGTTATGACACTTCTATTGAAGCAAAAGAGTCAGCACAGCAGGGAATAAACAGACTGATTCAGTGGCTTGTCATGACTCCCAGAACATGCTGATTAAAGCCCCTGAAGTTATTGGAAGAATTCTTCCAGGTGTGATGCTGATCAGCTATTGCTCAAGACGGGAATTAGTTAACAGTGTGCTGAAATGCTCTTTTCCATCTCATCAAATATTCACCTTCATGAAGTTCACTTGCTCCCACCATCTCTGCTTATGTAAGCATAAAATGCTCGCTCAGCTATCCCATTGTGAGGGTTTCCTCTATTCTTATCTCCTAGTTTAGATAAACAGATTTTTCATCCTCAGTGTCACACATTCAGCAGCACTAATGCCACATGGGTTAAGCCAGAACCATCTGTCTTCTCTGTCTGTAGGTCTCAAAACAGACCTTCCTATACTAACTTAGTGTTAATGGCTTCGTTTCAGTGGCAAGTAACACAATAAAGTGACAATATGGGCATTGTATCTGCTATTCTATTTGCAT